CAATTGATGGTCTGCTCCATAGTTGGCCCCTGGCCTTGTTTTGGTTAATTATATTGAGTTTTTCCACCATCTCTTTCCACAGATGTAATCAGTTTGAATCCTGTGTATTTCTTCTGATGAGATCCATGTGTATAGTCATCTTTTATGTTTTTGAAAACAGTTATTTGCAATGAATAAATCATTGGCAGTGCAAAATTCTATCATGTGATCTCCAGGCTTCTTTTATCACCAAGACCTTATTTTCCAACTATATGTAACACTTTTTGTTTACAGATTTTGATTTCCAATCACCTGCAGTTATCATACATCTTGATTGCAAGTTTGACCAATTTAGATTGAAAAAGTTAGTAGAATTCTTCAATTTCACCATCATTGGATTTAGTGGTTGGTGTATAATTTTGAATAATTGTAGTATTAACTGGTTCTCCATTTAGGAAAATTGGAAGTTACAAAAAATAAAATGGAACACATAAAAATCTGTTGTAATTGCATTCCATGTTCCAATTATTAATGGATGTTTGCAGCTATTTCTTCCCTTTTTGAGTTGTGCCCCATCAGCAAATGTAGGCCCTGAAAATTTTTGTCCATTCATTTCATTAAGGTCAATTGCACTTTGAGGAGGCAGACTTCCCCAGTCATATTTTGAGTGCCTTCCAATCTGAGGAGCTCATCTTCTGGCACTATACCAGATAACCTTCTGCTGCTATTCATAAGGTTTGCAGTATCTATCCATTCAGAGGTAGTCCACCTCTCCTTCCTACTTCGTCATAGTTTGGAAACTCTGTTGAAACCTGCCCAGCATTAATGACCCACCTGATATTTAAAAACTAGTGGAATAGCTTCAAGCATCACAGCAACACACAAGCCATTACAGAATGACCAATTAATGGGCTTCTAGGCATTAGTGAGCTGAAATGGACTGGTATTTGTCATTTTGAATTGGACAATCAAATGTTTCAATGTGTTGGCATGATAAATTGAAGAGACATGGTGTCACATTCATTGTCAAAAAGAGCATTTTAATATGTATATTGAATGTGGCGCTGTGGGTTAATTCACTGGACTGCAAGGTCAGTTTGAACCATAAGATTCATGATTCAAGCTCATAAGTTTGGTGGGTCAGACTCCTTGGAAACCCTATACAGGGTTGCTGTGAGTCAGAACCAGCTCAACAGTACTTAACAACAACAATAACAAGAAAAATTGAAGTACAGTATTGTTTGTGGTAGAATAATTTCCATTTTTCTAATGGGAAGTCTACCTAATACCACTATTATTCAAATTTATGCACCAACCTCTAAAGCCACTGATGATGAAGTTGAATTCTACCAAATTATTCTGTGTAAAATTGATTAAACATGCCCGTCAAGATACTGGTGATTAAAATGTGAAAGTTGAAAGCAAAGAGGAAGGAAGAATCAGTAGTTGGAAAATATTGCTTGATGATAGAAACAATGCTG